GGGGGGGGGGGGGGGGGCCTTCTGTTTGTTTTTTTTTCCGTTCATTCGGATCATCATTAAAATACTATATGTTACTGCGTTGTGAAAGTTTGCATGTCATTAATTGTTGTTTTTTCCCAATGAGAAGATGAAGGGAGGCCTTTCTTATTTAGATTCATGTGAAGGAGTCTAAGGGGGTATAAAATGTATTTTCAGTTCCTCACATGCACGTTCCTTTCATCTGTAATCCTCTCAAGTTTCACAGTCACCCCACACACACACCCCAGTTTTCGCCGCCTTTGCTGTACCCTAGGAATTCTACACAATATGTCTGCATTTGTCCTGTGAAATAGCTCTAGCCGGGAGCCGCATCATAAGTCAGATAATATTTTCTGAATTTTGGTGAAGCTTTAAAGATCCTCAGCATGTAGCGAGGTTAAAAGGAGCTGGAAACCTCATTGCAATTTTGTGTTAGACCGGCAGTTACTGGGAGACAGTGTTTCCTGGGGGTTTATTTGCATTTGGGGTCTGGCTGCTGTGGATGGAGAGATTTCTGTCTGTGCAGTTGTCACTGGTTGTGATCAGGGGCCCTGAGCTGAGATCTGTACAAGAGGGTGGCACTTGAGGTGTGCGGGATGATTCTAGAGCTTGTAGAGTTGCAGTTGGGGGTAAAAGGCCAGAAGGTTCCAGTGACTAGATGTGAACAAGAGGATATGAAGGAGTCTACTCGGAAATTCTGGAGCCATCCAAGGAATACATTTAGGAAAAGGGCACCTTTACTATCATGGTTGGTTCCTCCCAATGCATTTCTGCATTGCACTACCAGGACAGCGTGGGGGTGGCTTCCTCCAGGAAGCCTTCCCGGATGCTCCCAGTGGTTCCCAGTCTCTCACATAGCAGGCAGCTCTCAGTATGAAATTACCCAACTACATGTCTCCATCTCACTGAAGACTGAACCTGTCAGAGGCAGGACAGGGGCCTTTCACCTTTGACTGACTGGTTTCTAGCATAACTCCTGACTCAAAATGAGAACTTCGCCAGTGTGCTTGTAATGGAAACAGAACCCCATTTTCTTAGAGCAGCCTCTGTGGGAGGAAAGAAGGCCCTGATTAGCCCCATTTCTTACTTGGAGCATAGATGAAGATACTGAGTCACATAGTGGTGAAGCCAGAACTAGCCCCAGGCTCCCTTAGCCTGCAGCCCTCTGAATAAACGGAAGGAAGACAATATAAAATGCCCTGCCTCTCCTCCTCCGCAGTCCCCAGGACCCAGCACATGGTGCGGCAGGTCTGATACGCAGCCGACCCAACCATACTTGTCTTCCTCCTCCAGAATTTTTTGGCCTCATGCAGTTTCAGTGTAGGAGGGTCAGGTGACCAGGCTTTTTAGAATCTTCCCTTTTCGGCTCTGACGGTGACACATGGTGTATTTGAGGCGCTGACATCATCTCTTTCTTCCCGAATGCCCTCTTTTCGGCTCTGTCATTCGGGCTCTGTCATCTTCCACCTGGATCGCTGGGACCTTCATTCATTCAGAGCGCACTACAGGTACAATACGAATGGCTAACTGGGGACCAGCCCTAGACCGGGTAGGGAAGGGGATAGTCAGGGACAGGGTTCTTTGGGATGGTTATATTTGAGCTGAATCTAAGACTGTTAGGAGTTAATTTGGTGAAGAGAGGGAAGAGAGCTTGGTTGCCACAGGACATAGCATGTGCAAAGGCCCTGGGGTGGGAGGGAACGTGGCATATCCAAGGCAGTGTAGCTGGAGCCGGAGAGGTGGGCAATAGCATGACCACACAAGAGCTGGTTGATCATGGCAGGGACTCCCCCTTTGTGCTGAGAGCAAAGAGTAGCCATAGGATATAAGCAAGGGCTGGGCTGGTCAGATCTGGCTTCTGTGTGGAGAATGGATGGGAGAGAAATAGTGGATGCAGGGAGACCAAGGAGGCCGTGAGAAGGGCCAGCACCTGAAGCCAGAGGATGGGGAGACCTCTAGGAGGCCATAGCAGGACTTGGTCCTGGGTTTGGGAATCAGCAAAGAAATAGTATTGGTGCCAAGGGCCTGGATGACATCACCGGCGCAGAGAATGGATGGAGGAGAGGCGGCTGTAAGATGCCTGAGGTCCGGTGCTGGCGGGGGAGCTGGCCAAGGGGACTCGGAGGGTGGGGATGGTCAGGGACAGGATTCTTTGGGACGGTGATGTTTGAGCTGAATCTAAAAGACTGTTAGGAGTGAATTTGGTGAAGAGAGGGAAGGTGGGTGGCAGGTGGGTGGGAGGGAGCGGAGGAACCAGGAAAGGATGCTTGAGATGGGGCCATGGGGGGCTGAACCCACAAAGAGGGTGGCGGCAGGGAAGGGACTATTTGCCTTCACAAGAAGTGACCCCTGTGATGATGGCGGCTCCCTGGCGGGGTGATGGGACGGCAGAAGGTTGCAGGGAGAATGGGAGGTGAGGAGGAGCTCGAGGTGAGACTGAGAGGGCCCCAGTGCCCTTGCCCCACAAGGCGGATGTCCTCTTGTCTGATTGAGAACCCCATACCTGTTTGGGGGATTGATTCGATGCTGATACGTGGCCTTCTCCGCAGCAGAATGGGGTCACGGTTCTGTCTCCACGAGACGCCTCACCTTTTCCCACGTGGTGGGCCCTCCACCTCATGGGGGCTCAGGGTGAGGATCGTGGACGTCACTTACCAAGGGACAGAATAAGATGCTGATGTGACCGCGAGGCTGGGCCTGGCCCTGGGCCACGCGGGCACCTGCATGTGTCACATAACCTTGTCCTTCTGCTTCCCTCCCCCTTGGAGGGCAGAATGGGGCACCCCGTGTTCCCCAACCCTTGCCCCAGAGCCACAGTGTGTGTGGAGCGTTCCTTTCTGTAACTCACATTACAAAAACAACTGAGGTCTTTGTTTTCCCCAAATAAAAATGGGTGAGTGTCATTTTTTCCTAACTACGCATCGCCTTCCGTGGGCCATCCCCCCTCTGCGCTGGAGGGTGTTGGGGGCAGGGAAGGGGCGGCCCTTTGTAGGTTTGCATTTATGACTAGGGTCCCTTCCAGCCTGAACTCTCCTGGACTCAAAAGGCAGGAGTGAGGTAGTGGCTATAAAATACTTAAACGTGTTGCACGGTACATGAGCTGTGCAGATAATAAATTCCACACGTTTCCGCGCTGAGGACCTTTACGATATGCCGGGGTCATCAGAGTTAAGGAGTGTCCTTGTCTGGAGCTCTCAGGATGTTTTTAATGGATGTTGGCATCTCCAAGAAGGGGGGCGGCTTGCTGACCACAAAACCCTTCTCTTGTAGGATCTCGAGGGCCTGGTGCTCTGTGGGATTGTTTTGGGCCTTTTAGGAACCTAACGAACCTGACATGTTTTAGCCTCTGTTTCAGGAAAAAATACAGATTTCTTATCCAAAGGAAGCCGATGATAAGGTTACGAGGTGATCTGTTAATTGTCCAGTTGTCCAGCACTGTCATAGTCTAAAGGGGAGAAGATCGCTTTAAGAAAGGGATTTTTTTTTTTTTTAATTCAATGTGTATGTCGGTTGAAAACAACTGAAGTCACTTTCCAATTTCTGTGAACGTCACGGAGTAGCTAAATTTAGACTTTGTTTGTTGGTATTGTAAAATCCTTTACATGTTTTGAGTGGGATTGTTTAGATTGACCTTAAAATGTGTTTATTAAACTTGATGTCTTCGGGCATGACTGCGAGTCAGCTGTCAGAGGTCCCCCCGGATTTCTAGAAGGAGGCAGAGAGCAGAGCCGAGCCCCGTGGCGTGCCCCGGGCCCCGCTCTCCGCTCATGGTGGCCCAGATGCCCGTGTTTCTCCCACACTGCCTCATCCAAAACTATTTTTGTGGACTCTTGCTTCCCTTCTGCCTCGGGTAAGAGTTGAGCTAAAGAAAGATCAGCACTTTGGAAAGTCCTTCCCAGGACAATGACCAGACCCAGAGAGGCTGTTTGAATACTGATCTTGCCTTTTCAGGGTCTGAGCAAGGGTGCCCGAGGTCAGGAACCCTCCACAAAGTGGGAAAGAGACACCGTTAAACCGTGGTTGCTTGGAAAGCTCGCATGCTTAAGTGAACATTTGCCTCAGCGAGCTTTCAGAAGTGTCTAACTGAGCCCTTGGCTGGGTAGCTCAGTTGGCTGGAGCGTCTTTCTGATACGTCAGGGTTGCAGGTTCCACCCCGGCTCAGGACACATACAAGCAGCAACCAGTGCATGTATAAGTAGGTGGAACAACAAATCTCTCCTGCCCCCTCCCCGCCCTCCCACTCTTTAAAAAAAATCAATAAAAATTTTTTTTTGTTAAAGTGTTTAGCTAATAAAAAATTACGTATAAGATCGTGACACACAGGAGAGGTGCTTTAGCTAATACCTGACTTTCTAAACCCTTAAATTAGTAGTTATTCCCAGAAAGGCCTGGTGGTGGAGCCGTTGTCACTGGCTCACTGCGGGCCCTGAAGTGGCGCTTTTCTGGCCCCTGGACCTTCCTGCCCTCACCATGAACGCAGGGCCGTGAGGGTTCTGAGTCCCAACTGAGGGTGGAGAGCAGCCTCTCTGCTTGGACACAAATGCCCAGGGTGAGGGCAGGGCACCCGTGGATGCTGCCCTGGAGACTGGCGACTTTTGGTGGGTTTGCCCATTTGGGTTGCCAGTAGTTGATACCAGGCGTGGCTCTTTCATGTGCCTGGATTCCTGGATGTCTTATCTGCCTCCAGGTGACCAGGAGACAGGAGTCCCTCCTGAAAGCTGCTAACTCTTTTTAACCACCTGAACGAAATACTGCTTGGGGGTATCCTTTCCAGAGGGGAGAGGCGGAGCCCAGACAGGAGGCGCTCACCTGAGTCACCTGGGTGATGGTGGTTGGGGCAGCCCCGGGACCGGCTCCTTGGGCTCCTCCCAGGTGGTGTTTTTGGTGCCCTTGGGCAGCTTTCTTGCTTTTCTTGGATTGACAAAACCTCTCGTTTTTGCTGAATTCCAGAAATGGCCTCAGACATCCCCGGATCGGTGACGTTGCCCGTTGCGCCCATGGCGGCCGCTGGACAGGTGAGGATGGCCGGGGCCATGCCTGCCCGCGGAGGAAAGCGGCGTTCCGGGTAAGCACCCTCACCCTTGCCAGGAATTGGGCTTCATACATGTTGAGTAACACTCTTGACCTGTTAGGAAAATACTGTTTCTCCCTGTTGTGGAGATGAAGAGCTCAGCGGCTTGCACCCTGTTTAGATTTTGCAAGATCCCTAACTATGCATGTGATTGGCTTCTAAGTGTTTTGGGCTTTAGCACCCAGCTGGAGACTTCTGTTTGCTTGTCTTTGTGGGGAGAGTGAGCTCTGGGATCCTGCTGGGCCTTGCTCAGGACATCTCTCCAAGGGAGTGGCTCCTCCATCCGCCCCTGGGCTCCCGCCAGAGGGCAGCAAGAATCTTTGCTCGTGGCCTGCAGGAATCCTTCCTTTCCCCACATTGGCGCCTGAAGGCTGGGTGGCTGCTCTGCGGGTGATGGTTGATAACATGGTAAGTTCTAGCAGGACCAGAGAGACCTTCCCTCTTGAGTTTACAGAGCCCAAATTGCACCTACTCACGTGCCTCCTGCCTGTAGCTGTGCTCAGAGCTCAGAATCAACCCAGCCCACAGAAACCTGCAGGGGAAACAGAGCTGATGCTTGCAGATTCAGTAAATGACCCCGCCCCTTTCCCTCACTGAATCCACTTTCTTTTCATTGAAATAGTTGATAAACAACATTTCTCTTGAAGTGAGATCAGTTTATACATTTAATGCAATTTATTTTTTTAAAAAATTGAATGTATTGGGGTGACATTGGTTCACATAGCGCAGGGCCCTCCAGTGATAGCAGACGATACCTGTCAGGCCCAAGGCCTGCAGGGCAGGTGGGGTGGGGAAGCTATATGTGGAGATCTGGAATGGAGTTTGTTAGGATGACAAAGCATACTTGGCATTGCAATTTTAGATTGTTAAAAATGTGATGTGTATGTGGTGCGTTTGTCCAAGGAGGGGTTAAGATTCTGATGGTGATTTTGAGCAGGGGGTGGGGTGGGGGGCAAACAAGGCTGAGAAACTGAACATCGTGGTTACATGGGTTTTCCCTGAGTCAGCGAGCACCCTCCCAGGGCTCTGAGGCTACCCCATTCTCCACCCACTGTGACCCATATTTTCACAGGGACCCAGCAGAGCTGTAGTGAGCAGGTGGGTGCCTGGGGCAAGTCCCCAGATCTACTGTGTCATCAGAAGCAGCCCTCCTGCCCCTGGGGCCAACCGCAAACACAGCCATTGCATTTAACTAACAACTCCTGCCAGCTGGGCGCTGAGCTCAGTGGAGTCCAGGTTGCTGTCAACGTATCAACTTACTGATTTTAAAAAAAGATTCCAGGTCTTTTAAAATCGTTTTAAATGCTCCCCAGCTTCTCTCCATCCCCCTTGGGACAGAGCCTGATGGAGTGAGTGCTCAGTTCTCTTTAAGAAGAGGCCAGCAGTAGGGGGCTCTTTGATGAGGGAGGTGGGCTGGGTTAGGGTTAGGGTTCCTGAGATGCTCAGGCCCAGCCCCAAATGTGCAGGGTGTAGGGAGTCGGCTCTGAGCCTCTGCCAGCAGCTCCTGCCGCACCTCCCGCAGGCGTGTTCGGGTCTGTGCCCTGCTCAGGGCGAGGCTGCAGGGGTGAGGCCGCTTCCCTCCTGGCCTCCGTGTTCCTGACCCCTGCCTGGCCTCCAGACCCTGACTCCTGCTGGCTCGTTGAGCTGACGATTGAACCATGGGCTCGGTCTCCTTACTGCCAAGTCCTCCCAGCTGTCCCTTTCTGTACTGATCACAGCATGACACTGGCTGCAGAGGGGATGGGAGGGGCTGAGACAGAGCCAAGGAAGCAAAAGACCAAAAAAAGAAATGAGAGATTCTAGAACTGGAAGAGCAACAGAGGACATGCTCCCCACCCGGAGTATGCGGTGTGGGCCCTTTAAACAGATGCGCCCTTTATACAGATGCTCATGCCGACCCCCTCCTGGGGGCTCTTCCTCAGCTGGCCTCCTTCTTGGGGCCCACGTGCCTGCTCCCTTTTCCCCATCAGAGGAGGGAGCCACCCAGCGACCGTGAGGGTGATGCAGGGACGTCTCCTCTGTGTCTAAGCACAGAAACCTCCGTTTTTCCCGGGCTGTTTCCATAGTAATTCTTGCAGCTGGTATTTCTGCATGTTTTGCTGGGATCCTGTGATTGAGGCCACCGCTGTTCTAGAGCTCGACAAGCTCCCCTGACCACAGCCTGCACACTCCGCTGAGAACACAGGAGACCCCGACAGGTCACAGGCATCAAAACGCCGGTGACCCCACTCAGGGCCCCGCTTCTGCACCCTGGCTCAGTCCCTGCCATCTCCCATGCTGCATGGTGTTCTCCCACCCCCTTCTCTCTGAGAATGTGGGCACGGTTGGAGGGACATGGTGGTGGGGAGAGAAAGGGGTGTGGAGGGTGGGACGGGGCGTGGCAACAGGCAGGGGCTTCTTCCCACCCCTATTCCCCGCCTGGTCCTCGCACTCTGACCTGTTATTCTGGTGGAGGGAAGTGTCCCAGATTCCCAGGGCATCCACCCATCATCCTCCCAGTGCAAGCCTCGCCCAGTGCTGGGGATGCTTTGGGCCTAACACTCTCCCTTTCCCTGCGGGCATCTCAGCAAGCTGCGGACAGGACGCTGCCAGCTGTGGGGATATAAGGTGAAAGTTCACAAGTTTCGGATTCTTTGAGAAGCGATTCCACATGTGGAGACATGAGCAGAAGCAGGTCACCTGAGCTGTGTTTTTGCAGAGACCTCCCTGATTTTGGCGATGGGGTGGCAAGGGGTGGTGGCTTTCGCAGGGGTGTACTCGGTGCTGCTGAGTCAGGGGGGAGGGGCAGTGATTAGAAGTCTGTCCCCACCCCTGAGCCAACCTTTTAGTGACGGAGGGTGGAGGCCACAGGCAAGGCCGTACCAGGCCCTTCCCACTGCCTTGGAGTCCTGTGCCAGCCTTCTGAGGAAAACTATTTCTGAATTGTCTGCAACCTATTAGACCAGCGTCCCACCCCACAGCTGCTGGGCCCTGGTCAAGTAAGAGGCGTGTTTACGTAAGCAGACCCCGCACTCGGTAACTCAGAGTTTATGCGCTGGCATCGCGGGAGCCCCGGCCTGTCCAGGTCTGAGGGAGGAGCATTTGCTGGTGCTCCTGTCACGTCACCTTTGTTCGAAGGAGCCTCAGGTTGCCCAGGGTGGCTCCGATGCTCCCCTTCCAGGTCCAGCCCTACTGTCATGGCCTCTTCTAAGAGCATAAGTGAACTCTGTTTGGTGACTCATTTTTGATGAAGTGGTGTTATTATTACACAGTTCCTGTTAGGGAGAATCACACTCCTCACTCTTAGCTAAGTGCAGGCTCAGAAATAAATGCCTTTCACGGCTCTTTATCGAGGTAAGACTTTGCGCTGATTGACAGGAAGAGCAAGGTGACATGCGTCCGCGACCCACGTTTCGGAGACGGCTTACGTCATCCACTCCTTGCACCGAATTCTTTCGAGTGAATACTTAAAAGTCACATTTAGCACTTAGAAGTCATATTTTGGTTTCTCTTTGATTATCCAGGTGCTTCCATGTAATAGAGACGATAAAAGACGTAAGAAAATGGGTGATTTCATTAGGGTTTTCATAGCAGAAGAAATAAGCATAGCTCTTGTGGTCCTGTTTAAAGTGGAAGGTACTGTGTCCTCTGGGCTTGCGTTTTTTTCCTGTGTGGCCGATAAGCATTGAGACTTGTGGGGCCATGGGTCGTCCTGAGGACGTGAACAGATGTCTGTGTCCTGCTGTCTCTCCTGGGTTCCCCCCACATTATGTGGTTCCGATGACTAAATCCTATCGCTGCCCACGTGTGTGATCATATGCACAGGTGGGAGGCACAGCCTCGTGGTCCCTTATTTCCCGTAGACAAATCCTGGTTGCCACATTCCCAGGGGCCTTGAGAAACCCCGGGCGCTGTTCCTTTCTCTGCCGAATTGGGTGGACCTGGCCCACACTGAGGCCATGTGGGGGTCACGGCCACCGTGTGGCTCGCTTCCCCAGTTGTCTGCTCTGCGGTGGTCTAGGCAAAGGACAGAGCTATCTGTATGAAAACTAGGGTGACCAGCCATGGCCCGGGACTGCCCCAGTTTTAGCACTGAGGCACTGCACCCCAGGAATCCTCTCAGTCCGGGAAAATCAGGCTGGCTGGACACCCTGAATCTCCCAAAAGGCCATGCAGGCTGACGAATTGCATCTCACAGGAGCTGGTGATCTCACTCATCTCAGCTAGAGCTCAAAGGCATCTTAAAGATAACCGTGCCTCCCACACCCACTTGCAGTTCGGTCCAATGCTTGCCTGAATTCATCCTTTGAGGCGTTTTGAAAATGCGATCTTCTTCTGAACCCTGAAATGTTTTTGACAGTCCAGGGGTGGTCGGGAACCCTCATGCGCTATGAACACCAGGTGGCAGTGTGGCTCCGCGGCTGTGGGGAACCCAGATGTAACAACTGCCAGGACAGGGAAGTGGTGGCTTAGTTACCGCGCAGAGCACTGATGGCTTTGCTTCACTTAGAAAGTCATGCACGCGGGCCTCATTTCCCCATGCCATAGACTCTGCAGCTGCTGGTTGGTGCCTGGATGCCCCAGCTGTGTTGTCGGGGGCACGTCTGTCCCTGCCGCCTCCCCCTCTCTGGGCAGGTATTTTGGTGACCACGACTGTCCTCCCTCCCAGGTATCTGACTCCTTTATTTTTTTATTCCCAGCAGCCGATGCAGCCCTGTGTCTGGAAACCAGGGGGTCCCCTCAAGTCATCCCAAACAGACTGAAGCCCAGATGAGAACCCTGGACCCATTGCACACAGAACAAAACAAAAGCAAACCCGTGATACCATTTTAAATAAGAAAATGCTCCTCTGCCCTGTCTAATCTCCTACGTCCCCCAGTTACCCCCAAACCTAGAGAATCCGATTAATCTCATTAGGAATGTGCTTGTGCAGAATGGCTCTTCCTGCGCGGCCTGGCTATTTCCTGGGGGCCTGGGGGGCCTGTGCCTCCCCTGGTCACCATTACACACCGAGCCCCATTTTTAGGACCTGGGGTGGGGATTGTGTCCCTGTGAGGCCAGCGGCTCTGCACCTGGAGCTGTGGTCTTTCACACACACCCCATTATTTTGCCGAGCTGCTCCAACAAGGACCTTCTCTGTCCCGGCTGCCAGGCCCCCTGGCCTGCCTTCTGCTCGGGATTAGGGATTTGTGGGGACTGTGCCTCAGTTGGTCCCTCAGTCGCGGGGAGTGCAGCGGCTCTGAGACATTTATCCCCAGGGAGCTCCCCTCCTCCCCTCGATGTCCCCGAGAGCCAAGACATCTGAACTCATTCTTATTTTGTTCCCAAAGATGCCGAGTGCTCTTTATACTAATTAAGCCCCCCTCGCCCTTGACATCTTCAGCGTCAACTCAGAGGACACCAGAGCGGACTGGGCTCTTGCAGAGAGTTTGGGATATTATTTAAACAAATATCCATCAAGACTTTTTGTTTTATGTTTATGCTGAGAGGCCCAGCAAAGTGGGGATCTTTGTGTTTACTTAGTGAGTTTCAACAAGCAGACAGCCACATCGAGTGGCTGCGGCTCCAAACGATCATTTCTCCCTCCACATCCATTTATTTGGGCCCAGACTTCATAGCAGAATGGCCCCAAATGTCCTTTTCACGTGGACTCGCCACGTGGCGCAGACAGCAGTAGGTCTTCTTTTCCTCAGCATCCTTTTATCGCCCTCAAAACTTGCTGTTTTCAAAACCCCTTGAGCTTTTTTACTCTGTTAATGTGCCACAAAATTAAGTAAAAGGGAAGTCTCCCTGCAGAGTAAGTGATGTGGGGGGAGCAGTATCCCCACGATGGGGGGAGACCAGGGGCGTGGAGCCTTCCAACACAGCTTGAGGGATCCCTTGTAGGATTCTAGTTGAAGTTTCAGCACTTTTGCAAATGTTCCCAACCATACAATTAATGCTGCTCCCACCGCCTTTTCTAGTCCCAAACGTGTTTGGTGACCAGAGGTACCCTTTCCTGCTCGGCCGAGGGTGGGGATGGTTGGACAGCTGTCTCACCAAATGTAGCTCCCTCTGTGCCAGCTGCTTCTGTCCCCAGTTACATGTCCACCTGTAATGATGCTGACCTGTGACCTTGACTTTTCAGAATGGACTTTGACGATGAAGACGGCGAAGGTCCCAGCAAATTTTCTAGGTGAGTTTGTGTTCCTTAAAGAAGCCAGTAGCCAGCCATCAGCTTCTTGGGATACACACAGGTGCAGATGTCCTTTGTCCCTGACAAAGCCACTGCCTGTGGTTTGACCCCCACGCCTGTCCCTTGTTCTGGGCCAGTGACAGGAAAGGGGTAGCAATCCTGCCACATCCCAGCCTGTACTGTCAGCGGTCAAGTAGCAAGTTAGTCACTCTTTTGGCTTTTTCAAAACAGTGACTGCTGATGTTAATGGGTTTCTTTTTAAAAGACAGACTTAGAGTTCAAGGTTAAATAAACAGTCAGTATAAAGGCCTTTTTTTCTACCACTGAAGATAAAGAGAAATATAAGAAACCTGGGTGGTTCTGTGCTGGATACAGAATGTAGAATTGGACTCTGAGTTCCTAGGAGCTGTGTGATTCACTGGGCACGTGACAGGCTCTACCTTGAGTACCGGCCACTTTACAGAGAGGACACTGGCTCACAGGTGCCAGAGCTGTTCCATACGTTACAGCTGCAAAGGAGAAGGCTGGCCTAGCCCCACGGCTCACTCTTTTTAATTTTTTCTGATTTCGTTTTGTAAGTTATAGTAGGAAGTTTGGCGGTATTGAGAGAAAGGCACCAACCATTCCAGCAGTCTCAGCAAAATCCCCATCCGGACTCAGTTTACTTATGGAAGGGCCTGGGTGCTTGTCCCTGTCATCCGCACACTCCTAATTCTGGGCTGTGGATGGACTTGCAAACCTGCCCCAGGTGACGGGGACCTTCCTCCGGCACCCACGCCCACAGTTTGGATTGACAGCCTCAGAAATTTCTCAAACATCTGTAGAAGAACAGTGTCCATGTGAAGCCCTGGACGCCCTAATCCCCCCAGTTGGCTCGTCCCCATGGCAGTTACTTTGGTTGTGGTTCCTTTGACCTGTGTCATGGGTGTGGATTGGGCAGACTTTCCCTGAACCCAAGAGGAATGTGCCTCTTGGTATAATCCCAGGGCTTCCCGGGTGTCCAGTCCACTATAAACATCTCGTCATTGGACAGACTTCGCTCCCTGAGCATCCCCTCTGCCCTTCCACTCTGGCTCTGGGGGGGGCACAGGATGGAGAGCACTGGCCCTGTGATGATGCCCGAGTTTCTAACCCAGACAAATCACAGATTTAATGACAGAAATGTGGCTTGTTTTCTCCCTCGCTGCAGGCACAACCCCAGCCTGGACACTCACCTGTTCTCTAGGGCACATTTCTTAGCAGGGAGCTCTCTGCTGTCAACATGGAGCTCACCCCAGAATGAGGGCACCTCTCTCCCTGTCCCTGTCCCCCGGTCCCCGAGGGATCTCACCTCACACAGCCTCCCTCGATGAGGAAACTGGCTTTTGATGTCTCTGGGTCAGAATCCCCCTTGAGATAACAACATTCCATAGCATGTTGACTCAGGAAATGCTGGCTCCTGGGGTCTCGGAACAGAAAGCGGAAGAGATGTGAGGAATGATGTTGGTTTGACCTTGAGGGTCACTGTCAGTGATGAAATAACCACGCAGGGCGACAAAGAGCTTGCTGCGTTAGGTCCCATCCGTGAGAAACAGACACCGTAGACTCCCTGCCACAGTCTCCTAAGCCCCTCAGTCAGTTTTGACGTAGAGTTCAGGCCTGCGCTCTGCCTTTCCCCACTCATTAAAAATAAGAGACAGGCTTCCCCTCTGTTGAGTTTGTAGGAGCCTGCGCCACCTGATTCCACTGCGTAGGGTAGCTGACGGAGCTGCTCCGAGTTGGGGACATGCCTGAGGCTGCCCCCCACCCGCTGGCCTTGCCGGTGACTGTGGCTGCTGTCCAGGGAGGGATGTGGAGTCAGCTTCAGGTTGTCTCCTGCCAACGGAAGGAAGGGGAATGTTTGGATTCTTGATCTTATTACAAAGTCCCCAGGCTCATGGGAACCGTGGGGAGATATCAGGATGTTTAGATGAGACTGAGGCGCCCGCAGAAGCCTGTGTCCCCCACACACAGACCGAGGCTCACTCGGAGTCGGGGAGCCGCTCAGCCCTGTGCGTGTGCAGCGCGCCCAGCCGTCGCAAGCGGCTCACTGCTCGCTGCTCCTCGGTCACTTGGTGCTGCCAACGTGCCGCTTGGGGCCATTGGCCGGTAACCCCGGTCTGATGCTTCTCTTTCCCTCTCCTCCTGACCGCGTGCTTCCGGGAAGAGAGAACCACAGTGAGATTGAGCGGCGCAGGCGGAACAAGATGACACAGTACATCACCGAGCTCTCGGACATGGTCCCCACCTGCAGTGCGCTGGCCCGCAAGCCCGACAAGCTGACCATCCTGCGCATGGCCGTGTCGCACATGAAGTCCATGCGGGGCACGGGGAACAAGTCCACCGACGGCGCCTACAAGCCTTCCTTCCTCACAGAGCAGGTACCTGTCCCCCCCCTTGTCATCATGGTGGGGTCACCAGATGAGCTATGTGGGGAAGCGGGGCCCAGGGTTAAGGCATCTGTCCTTACTGTCTACCAGGAAACTCCCGTCAACGGGGTGTGGTTCCAAGCTTTGCATCCCCTGCTTTCACGTCTCCTGTGGACCTTAATAAGGCATCACTCAAAAGGCATAGCCCTGGCTGGGTGGCTCAGTGGGTTGGAGCGCCGTCCTGTGCAACAGAAGGTCATGGGTTTGATTCCGGGTCAGGGCACATATCTAGGTTGTGGGATCAGTACCCACTCAGGGCATGTGCAGGAGGCAATTGATTGATAAGTCTGTCAGTGTGTTGGTTTAACTGAGAATGGAAGCAAAGGCCGGTTCTGATTTCCAGGAACAGGACCTTGGTAGCGGGTGACGTGTTCTCGGAAGACAGAAATGAGGAAGAGGGTGGTAAGAGAAGGGATCTGTGATGAGCATGAGGCTCTGTTCCCTAAGACCTTTCCACAGTGCAGCAAACTGGATGACCCTGTGAAAACATAAATGAACTCATCAGCTTCTGCCTCCTCTCCCCCAGTGACAGAATCCTCCGCTTTCCCAGACATCCTGTGCCATTTCCACAGTCCTTCCCGTCAAGAGGATGTTCGCAATACTGAAAATAAAAGTGCTGACCCAGTCCTTGAGATCAGTAAGCATCTAGGACACACACAAAGCAGAAGTGCAGAGCAAGAGAAACGCACAAAGTAAACCTTTCCTTCAAAGCCCACCGCCCTCGTTTCCCAGGCAGAAGGTGTTAGAATTCGGACCCAGTCAGAGAACCTTACAAAGCTCCCCAGGTTCCGCTCCCCAGCGGGTCCACATATTCTAGTCTTTGGGGACAGACATCGGTCAGGGCCACATGCAGAGGGCCCTTCCTCTGTGTTGCAGAGGCTTTGACGTAAGATTATCTTGGAACAAAGGATTCCCACCAAGAGCACTTGCCAACCACTGGCCCAGAATGATGGTTTGGATCCCTGGGGCCTGGTCGGTGTGCAAGGTGGTGGGAGGCGCACCTGCGGACTCGAGTGCAGGTAGCAGAGATAGTTCCTCAGCCCCGGCAGGGACGGAGCCCGTGTCCTGAGCAGGAAAGGGCCCCTTGGCTTGGTGTGAGAATGACATGGGTAGGCAGCTACTCTTGAGCTGCCTTCAGGCACCACAGAGAAAAGACATCCCACGTTAACCGAGTTGATTTGGCTCCATCCACGGCCCTTTCGGGCCGATGGCTTCCTGCTGCCCATTCTCTGATCCCAAGCAGCTTCCTTCCTGCCTTCACTGCCATTCATGATCCGGGCGAGTCAGTGTGGCCCCAGGGCTGGCACACTAACCCTCTTCTCTGGGTAAAGTGACAGGGACAATGCTGGACGGCCTGCCACTTCCTGGGGTTACGCCGAGAATCTGTCGAGATGTCAGCTGTCAGATTGTTCTGGAAGTTTGGCAGACATGCAGACGTAAGGGGACACTCTTATACCCAGTGCCAGCATTCAGCTCAGAAAGTACAGGAAGAGAGAGGGCGGGGTGCCCTGGCAGGGTGGTGCATGGCGAGTGGGGAGTCACCTGGCCCCTGTCTGTCGGTGGTCTCACTTTCCTATTGTCATTCCCTTCCTTCCTTCCTTCTGCTCCAGTGACATCCCTGCAGTTTGAATATGTAGGTGAGGCCACTCACACCTGTGACAGCCCAGCACTGTCTGGCGGTCACTCCTTGTTCTCTTATCCCCGAGTGTCGAGGGCAGTTTCCTCTCTCCCTGAGGAAGACTAGTTATGACAGGACTAACTATGTTTAGAGTAACTGTATCTCAGGGCTAGTATGGCTCCTTGCATTTTTTTATTTTTATGTTTTTGGTTTATTTTTCCCTTTTTCTTTTTCATTTTTTTGTTCTGTGCATGTTAAAAAATTCATTTTCCAATAAAAAAAGTGACCAAGCCCTGGCTAGGTCACTCGGTTGGTTAGAGCATTGTCCCAATATGCCCAAGTTGCAGGTTTGATCCCTGGGCAAGGCACATACAAGAATCAACCAGTGATGCATCAGGAAGTGGAACAGCAAGTCCATGCTTGTTTTTTCTCTCCTTTCTCTGTTTCTCTAAAATCAGTAAATAAATACTTTTTTTTTTTTTTAATAAATGCTTAAAAAAGTAATCAAACTTTCCAAAACTATGTGCGTTATCACAGGTATGTGAATGAAAACCAAAGGTTGCCGGTAAGAGAACTGAACTGGCTGGGGCCTGCTTTTTCCTAATGACCAACTTTTCTTCCCAGGAACTGAAGCATCTCATCTTGGAGGCGGCCGATGGGTTTCTGTTTGTCGTGGCGGCTGAGACAGGGCGTGTGATCTATGTGTCTGACTCTGTCACTCCTGTTCTGAACCAACCCCAGTCGGAGTGGTTTGGGAGCACCCTGTATGAACAGGTGCATCCTGATGACGTGGAGAAGCTGAGGGAGCAGCTGTGCACCTCAGAAAACTCCATGACAGGTCAGTGTGGCTCCCCCCTCTGGGACTGTTTGACCGGAGACAAATTGCTTTTAGTAAACGAGTCAGGAAGCTGCAGGTAAGAAGCTGCCTGGAGGTGAGGGGGTATATTTGACTTGGCTCATGTAACGGCTTCATTTATCCTATCATGTTGTAAAAATTCATTTTTATTTCATCACTTCTTTCCCTCCCTGTATTTTACCTGCAATTAGAGAGATTGCCACAGGGAGGCGCTGTTGATAGATCAGCCTGAACGACATGCTCTAATGCGGTTTATGGCTCATGTTTGTGACTATTTGTGATCCTGGTCAGAGGCATTTATTGCCCAGGCCTCAGTTACCTAAGATGAGGTTCCCTATTGAAACAGTTAAATGCATACAGTTCTGCTATAACAACATACATGCTATTAAAAAAAACAACCACACACACCAAAAAACTTTGCAGTATATAAAACTGTGAAGTGAAAACCACAGGGCTTATGGGGAAAAGTGGGTTAGCAGCACAGCACTCCCATATTTGTGAGTGACAGATAAAAACAGAAACCAAATAAAAATGGGAACACAGCTTTATTTAAACCTTAATCGCTTCTGTAAAGAAAGGCCCTGGGTCCAAGAACAGTCCCGTTCTGAGGTCCTGCAGGTTAGAGCATCAACATGTGGCTTTGGGGGGACACAATCCAGCCCATCACTCTTATGATAAGACTAAGTCAGATGTGGTTGAACGCAGCCGATGTACAGGTGTTTCTGAACGATAGTGGTGACATTCTCAGTGTTGGTATAAAAGGGAGGGAGAAGGGGCTTTGTCTCATCTCTGTGTGTCCTGTGTCAGTGATGTGACCTGGCCCTTAGCTCCAGGTGCGTGTAAAACTGACACTAAAACATCTCAGAGACGTGCCCTGGGCTGCGCCCAAGAAGCCCACATAGACGTCCTGAGGACCATACCTTATCAAGTTAGCTGTATGGGAGGGATGGGAAAGGGAAGTTATATCATCCAGGGACTGTTGGCTCGTGCCCCACTTTCTGTATTTGACCACAGGATGTGGGTTTTTGAAACCAGATCAGGAGACCAAGCTGGGGCAGGTGGCGGGGAAGTGATGGTCAAGGGCTCCGGCCAGGGGCTTAGCTAAGTGGCTCAAAGAGTTGGGTGGACACTTCCGTCCATGGGAAGTCTCCATGTGTCTGGCAGAGTTTAAAGGGGCAGTGCAGCCCACATGTGGACAGAAGTGGACAGTAGATGGATGGTGGCCGTGGCAGCCAGAGCTAGTATATTGGAGAGAAGAGCCAGTGGACAGTGAACAGTGAACAGACAGGCCTCTGAGCTATCCTTCTGGCTGGGCTCCTCATATGAGAACAAGATGGACTGGAGAAGTGGGTCCGTGTCCTTGGGGTTGAGGAGATGACTAGGCCTCTCTCGGGCTTGTCGAGATGTGGTGTGGCTCCCCCAGCAGCAGGGCTGCCTCTAGGACAGCCCTCGGGGTTTTGTTGGTGCTCAGAACAGGGCTTCATAACCAGCCAAAGTGTAATAAAAACATGTAATAAAAACTTGTATAATAAAAAGATGTAATAAAAACTTGTAATAAAAACCTTTAGGAATGACTTGAAGCCTTTGATTGTGGGACTAGGGTTTCTCAAACCCTCCTGTCCCTGGGCATGTTTTCCTTCAGGTCCAGAAAGAGGGGGTGCAACCCACCATAGTCAAGGGAAAAACAGAGCCATCGCCTCCAAAAATGTCCTTGTGTTCTTTTGTGGCTCTTTTTTCTGTCCCTTCCTTCCTCCCTCTCTTTTTTGCGGTAAGAACATGAGGTCTGTCTTCTTAACACATTTAAAGTGCACGTTACTGAATTGTTAACTGTAGGCACAGTGCTGTAGCTCAGTCTCTAGGACTTACTCATCCTGATAATGAACTTGATACTTTTTAAGCACCAACCTTCCAGTCCCTGCACCTACCGTTCTGCTCTCCACTCCTGTGAGTTTGACTGCTTTCGGTCCCTCATGTAACTGGAATCACGCAGTATTGGTCCTTCTCTGACTGGCTCACTTCACTGAACATAGTGGCATCTAAGTTCATCAATATCGTCACAAATGACAGGATTTCTCTTTTTCAGGGCTGAGTAATATTCCATTGTGCGCATGTACCACCCTTTCTTTAGCTGTTCCTCTGTCAGTGGGCACTAGGGTTTTCCAATGTCTTGGCTGCTGTGAAT